ACATGTTAAGAGCTTGTGTGATAGACTTCGGTAAGCATGGGATACCCTCTACCGCTTATCGAATTCTCCTACAATAACAGCTATCATACTACTAGCATCAAAGTCGCTCCATTCGAAGCTCTTTACGGTCGCAAATGCAGATCACCCCTGTGTTGGGCTGAGGTGGGGGATACACAGCTAGCTAGAGGCAAGTCTCTAATAGCACCCTCACTGGCCTGAAATCATAAGGGAAACAACATAAAAGATCGTTCAAATTCGAGAAGACTGAAAGCGTCTCGCGATCGGCAAAAGAGTTACGCAGACAAACGACGCAAACCCTTGGAATTCCAGGTGGGTGATCGTTACTACTAAAAGTTTCCCCTTGGAAAGGAATGATACGATTCGGCAAACGGGGAACTAAATCCAAGGTACATCGGGCCATTCGAAATCCTTGCTAGGATTGGGCCAGTAGCATACAAACTTCGATTACCTCAGGAACTCGACAAAGTACATCCCACATTTCACGTGTCGAACCTAAAGAAGTGTTTGTCTGATGAGACACCGTAATACCACTCGAACGAAATCGAAGTTAACGAAAATCTCCACTTCGTGGAGGAACCAGTCGAAATCATGGATCGGGAAATCAAACGAACGAAAGAAAGTCGTATTCCCATCGTGAAGGTCCGTTGGAACGCTAAACGAGGACCCGAATTCACCTGGGAACGCGAGGATCAGATGAAACAAAAGTATCCACATCTCTTCCCAAACTCTTGAAATCCCAGTCAAAATGAAAATTTCGGGACAAAATTCCTTCTAACGGGGGAATGATGTGACAACCGTCAAATTTCGGTCAAGTCAAAGTCAAACAAAGTCAACAAGTCAAACCGGTCAACTCCAATAACCCTTGTATGTTAGGGTTTACGTTATGTAATCACTATACAATTCGCTATTTTAATGAGAAATCATCATTTGGAAAGTTCATGTGTTTGATTTTCCTTAGCCTTAACAGTGCTAAACAACGAACCAAATAGATAAAACACTATTACACAATCATCGGGATTGTGTACGACACTAAAACACGGTTTAACGGGGTTTACGAACCTTGCGTTGTGAAGCCGGACACTCAAATTAATCACAAACGAAACCTCTCTAAATCGTTTTCACTCTATCTCTTTCTATTTGAAATCTCTCTCAAATCTCTCCCAAATCTCTCTCAAAAGTTACTTTAACTTTTTGTAATCATTTGGGTCATATCGACCCTAACCGGGTCAAAAATCGCTTGAAACGGGGTAAAAACGGGTAAAATAGCCTTAAGGACCTGGAACTGAAGCTTCAGGACCGAAGCCTCTCATCCGAGGCCTCGATCGAAGCCTCTCATCAGGACCGAAGCGGAAGCCTCTCAGGAGACCGAATCCGAAGCCATCAGACAGCAGCCTCACATGCGAGGGTCCGAATCCGGCCTCCATGCGAGGTCTCGCAGACGGCCCCTTTTTACCGGGTTTTCGACTACGACTTCGTTTTTAACTCCGTTTTCATTATTTTAACGTGAGATTTTCACCCAAAACTTTATTTATAAACTAAGGCCCCAAAATATATAAATCTCCAGGGTTTTTATAAAAATATATTAAAAGAATTAGTGGTTGAACTAATTATTGAGAGAATATTTGCTTTTCCTTAATTTATGGCAAAAGCAAACCACCACCACCTCACTCTATGATCAGCCACTCTTTCCCACTACCCTTTGTCTCCTTAGTGGACCTTTACACCCAATCTCCAGCTCTTCCCACGTTCTAAGAGTTGGAGGATTGATCCCTCTCTCCTCATTCTCCATAAAGTTCTTCATTCTACACTTAGCAACCAAAGGAACACTCTCCAAAATTCTCTCATCTTTTCTCTCAACTTCAAGAACTTCAAGGCTTTCTTCAGGGATTTCTTTCTTCAATAGTAAGTATCTTCATCATTCATATAATTATTACACTCCATTCTACTCAAATCTTGATATCTTACACAAATTCCATCTTATTCGATGTTAGATTCTGAATCATCAAGACATCTTCTTAGTGTCCTTGGTTGAACACTTCCTCTCTATCACTTCATCTACTGAAACCACATAGGGTGAGTTCATACCCCTACATTTACATGTTTTTCTTAAGTTTTAAGGGGGAATACAAGTAAAATCATCAAGAACACAATTAAACTTTTCTATCAGATTACATCAGAAAAGATGAACTTCGATCACGGACTGTTTTGGTCAACTTAAATATTTTAGTTTTCAAACTGTTCCGGTGCAAGTAGTTCAAACTCTTAGCTTTAAAATGGCTACTTGCACATCTCCATATGATTTTTTCTACAATTATGGTGATTTTTTACAAAACTGCCTGTCATTTCAGAGGCAAACCCGGACCAGTCTGTGATTATGAACATTTTCACCTCTGTTAGAGATCACTAAAAATCATGATAAATTTACGAACAAACTAGACTCATATTCCAAACTCTCAGATTTGCGGATTTGGATTTAGAGCTTTGATGATTTTTCTATAAATTTTCTAAGAACAGTAACAGAAACTGTTCAACGAAAGTTGCTGTCATTTCTTTCATCACCTTGTAACATTTGAGCAAGGTGTATATCTTATGTGATTATATGTTTTGCAATATATGACATTTTATCTTAATATTTAGACACACATCAGTTTACAATGGATTTGGACATATAAAATATAAAGAATAACAAGTGATTATAATCAAAGTACAACCGATACATTCAAACATTTAATAAACTATTTTGAATATAGTTTGCATACATTACTACGTACTTCCTTGTTGATAAACTATAATTGGTATAGTTTATGATACATTACATAACAATACATTTAAAAATGGTACATTTATACAAAGGATATTTTCATTAAGCAAGGTACGGCCATACGGTACCAAGTTTTTCATAACACGTAATTCCGTTAATGACTTTGTGAGACATTTACTTCAAATTACCATTAAGTCCTGTATTGTAACCAGAGTCTCCTTGAGGGAGAGCGTGATAGTTGTGTATAGATCTATATTGGGTTTGACAAACCACACCTAAACTGCATGCAACAGTTAGACCGATAGGTCTGGGGTGACAATGTCATAACATTTCCGACGCCTGAAGAACGTCGTTTTAGGCAACCTTGGTCATAGTATGGTTATAATAAACTCACATAAAGTATTAATAAACATTGGAATTTACGGGAACTTCATAAAATTTAACGAGTTTTATGTCGATTTAAAACTTGCATTGTTTTACTATAATATGACAAATTACTTGTACATTTCGGTCTTTGGGTTTTAAGACTACATTTACACATTAAGGAAAATATTGGATTTTCTAACACAAATACTACTTTTACAAACGAAAGGCTTTTAATAATACCAAACAAAAGCTATGACTCACCACCTTTGTGTTGACACTTTTTCAAACAACTTGTATCTCAGGAAATCAGTAAACAGGTAACCAAGTGCTTTTGAGGATGGGGCGCTAAGGCGTCTACTATTTCATATTTTGTCAACATATGTAATTGATTCGTAAACATGTAATGCATACAATGATGTAACTTTTTCAATTATATATATGTTGGTTGTGTTTTGGTTCTGCTTCATTACTATTACAATTGTTGTTATGATACTATACATGAAGTCCTCCACCCCCGGACGTTTCCGCCATCCTTGGTTTGGGGGTGTGAAA